GGGGGGGGGGAGCGGGGGGAAATCTCTCGAAGAACTTGAAAGAAGATTTGAGGATTTGGATGGAAACTGTACACTTTGCCTTGGGCTTCAAAGCAAATGCAACTGATAGAGCTCACTGTGAGTTTGGGTTTTGCTGAACAGCATGACGGTGGGGAGAAATGGCAGGAGGATCCTTCAGCTGAACTTGAAACAAGATGTCCCCCCAGCCCTACCAGGCTGTAAAAGCTGGGATCCACTTCGTTTAACTCAAGCCTCATGGTGGTCACAGCTAGTAGCCAGTGTGAGCAGCGGCCCATACCAGACTTGTCTGCTGTCAAAAATCTTAATAACCAAGGGTGATTAATTGGGATTTGGTAATCCTGAAGAACAGCAACTTGGGGTTTTTTTACCTGAGCTAACAGCTCACACTTTCCTCTTTTTTCTCTTTCTCCTCCTTTTCTGTCTTTTTTTCTCTCTCTTCCCCCCCCACCCCCCCCAAGTTCAAAATGTTTTTTCATGAGCATAGCCTTTTCTGATGCAGTTGGTGGGGACTTGAAGCCACAGCTCATGAGGCATGGAACCGAATGCCTTCCCCAGCCAGCCAGACTCAAAAGGAAGAAACCCAAAATATACTTGGGACTCTGTTTGGGACCCAGACAGTAGGACTGAACTGAAAATCATCTCTTAAATCCTCTGTGTTACACTATCCTCTGCATACCAAGTAAAGAGATTTTTCGACCTAAGTGTTAGTCCACCCTCTACAAACACAGCTGATTCTGCTGCAGATAATAAAATTCCCCGACTGTCTGGCCAGCTTTCAGGCATTCACCCTGGGGCGTTTTAGAACTCCACCTCTGATTTGCAAGAAGTCGATCACCAGCAATCTGATACAACCACTTCAGTTATTGTATTAATGCCAGGCCACAGATTCATATTCCTCCTTCCCAAGTGAAATTTTTAGAAAGTTTTTAAAAACAACTTTTATACTTTTATATAATGCATTTTGCTAACTCAGTCTCGTTTGCCATATATTATATTATTTACTATAGAAGCTACTGCTCTGTAATTGTGACCCCGTTGTTGCCGTCGGGAACTCATCATTTGATGGATCTTTCCGTCTTTGTGTAGTTGGTCGGGATGCGGTGCAGCTGTTGGAGCAGCATTTACATTCTCAGCATTGTCAGGCAGTCAGCTATAATTGCGACTATTGTACCACCTCTTCCCCGATAGTCCAGCTCGCCAGACGTGCTAATAAACACGCTTTATTTTCAGCTAATGGTGATCTGCTGAGTGGATTTCAAGGGCTTTGGTTTAAAGTTCTGCTGAGGAACTGTTGGTTGTTGCTGTTACTTCTTCCACAACTCCCTTGTGCACCATAATCGTGTATTTCAGATTTGCCCCCTTTCCCGCCCCCCATCTGATGTACAGACAGTTGATACTTGCTACCTGCCCTTTTTTTTTCCCCCCTCCAACTATTTACCTCAATAATTGGCAAACACTAAGAAAACATTTTTGCACTTAATCTAATTTGAAGCTCTGGTAAATTAAAGAACTCTTAGATATATTACAAGAACATATTTGTGTTGAAAGAGGTACCTCTGAATAAATTTCTGGAGTGCAAGGAAGTTACAGGTTTCTCCTTCAGTGCTAAGAAAGGATTTAAGAAAACTAGTTGAAATTAATTTTGTGAAACTCCTTGAGGGTTTTTTTTTTTAATATTAAAAAAAAAAAGCCTCAGGAGCTAGTCTTTCATTTGCATTAATGGATTTGTTTTAAAGCCTTTGTACACTGCATGAGGTAATAGTTACTCTTTTTTATCCTAAAAATAAATAAATAAAAAGAAACAAAACCAAACGTTTTGGTTATGACAAACTCATTCATGAGTTGTTTGGGTTTTTTTATATCCGAGATCCTTGCTATGTTGACTGACAACTACTTAACTTTTTGGGACATTTTCATGTGTAAGTATAGAACAAAAGTTTCAAAGACTTGCTTTGTTTCTGTTAATGGGTTGCTTGTTACGATATCCCCCCTTTTAATGTGTTTATGTATTACATTAATGTCTGGAAACAATAAACCCAGTTTAGAATATTGTATTCATCACTGACTTGTGAATTGATTTAATGGAGGTTTTCCTTTTTGATAAATTGGAAAGAAGTAATTTTGTAATTATTTTTAGGTGGCATTGATAATGTGGAAACATTTGGCAGAAGCTAAAAGTAAGAATATGAAGTAGAAATACAACTTTCTTGGCTAATCTACCTTCTCTGCATCACATTCCAAACCAGACAGGCAGAAATTACTTTTCACGTTTTTTGCACCAAAGACCCAATCCAGCCTACAGTGGCTTCAAAGATAGTATTTAACGAGGAGTAGATAAACCCAGTTACGACTTCATAACGTTAAACTTAATTGCATAGGCAAAATAGACCCTCAGTAGTCATCAAAGTAAGCTTTATTTTTCCTGGTCCATTTACATCTCTTCAATACCAGAGGCTATAGGTGAGTGTGGGACATCTCTCCTGTTATCAGAGGCCACTGGGGTATCGTACCTGGTGTTGCCGTAAGCGTTTTTCCATTATTAAAGGAACAAATGATTAAAGTTTGCACCTACGAGAGCCACAGTAGTAAGCATTGCTAAAAGCAAGGTCTGGCAGAGTGCCCCTGGATTTTGGATGCTGCGTACCCAGAAGTGGCTTATCATTGCTCAGGAAGTGTTAGTAGATAGCACACAGTGCTTGGAAGTAACTCGAGCTCCCAAGTGCTGAACTGCTTTGTGAAATTCAAAAATGAAAGGGAGAATCCGTACGACACGAGTGGAGTTCTACTTGGATTTCCGAGGTCTGAACAGCCCTTTCAGCGAGTAATTAAGATTGGTAGAGAAAAGGCGTATCCTGGCCTGTGCTCTTAGGGAATGGGCCTGGCTCCTGCACCTGTACCTGCCGCTGCCTTCATCTGTAAGCTTTGTAAAACATCTTACTTCTTGTCAGGAAGCACAGCTCTTTCTTCCTGCCCTGGGGAAAAATAACTACTGCTCTACCTCATTTTTAAAAAGGCTCCTATTGCCAAATTCCGAGGAAAGCTTGTTTTACCTGACACAAAACAGCTACCCAAAACCTCAGGTTTTCTCTTCCCACACTTGCATGCCTGTATCTTGGCATCAGCACGTCAAGGAGCTACTGCTTGTAACGCTGACGTTAGATAACACAAATCCCTTGAGATACCCTGAGGGAAAATTACACTGTGGTGTGAGATGCAGTTGTTTTGAAGGCTTGACAAAAAAGCTGGAAATATTTTTGTTCTCAAGTTGAAATCTTCAATTGAGAAAAATGTGCCTGTCTGCGTAAGAGATCAGACTGCTTTCTTCCAAACGCTGCTGTTTAGGATTCAGTATTCTTAAGTGTCTTATGTCTAGATAATTTAAATAAATAATTTAACCTTTAGTACTCTTTTTGAGAAGCAATTTAGCTTGCAGGGGAAAAAAAAAAGTCTCAATTCTAATTGTGATTCTTATCTTGCTGATATGTCTTGATGAAGCTCTGACCAATAAGAAGTTTCTATGGAGAGGGAAAAGAAAAGCTTTAGATATTATTTTCTTTAAGTTTCTTGTCATATTTCAGTTCTCATGAATGTAATGATGAGTGAGAAGCTAATTAGAGCTTCATGAACTTAGTGAGTTGTGTTATGGACCTGGTGAGGGCCGATGCATCCCCAGTCCGGGTGGAGATACTCTGTCACTGCGCTGTGCCAGACAGAGCACAGAGAAGCTCCCACTACTTCCAGTTTCCTACTCCCTGGTGGTAACTCCCTGAGTAAGGGCGAGCAGATTTGCTGATACCACATGCATTTTTTCAGCATCTTATAGGCTCTTTCTGGAACTCAAGAGTAGCTTTGGGAAAAAAATGTACCTTTGTTTTTATCGTGATGGGTCTGGTGACAGAACGTGAAAGGAAGGTGAGATAGAGACTTGCAGGTTCTTTTGACACTGTAGCCCTAAAATACACGATTGCGTGAGAAGAGAGAAGGCTCGTATTTAAGATAAGGATGAGTAAGTCACAATAACTCAGCTAAAAGGTCTGCATAGTTAATTGCAACACAGAACATATCGAGTCAAGCATCCACACGATCTACTAAAGGCTTGTCCAGACTTCAAATTTGTTTCAGGTTAACTTGAACTAGTCCATGCTTAAGTTCCTTACATCAACAAATTAAAAGCACTTGTTACAAATTTTCAGCAAATTTAGGAATACAGAGTTTGAAGTCAAATTTGCATTAATGCATCTTTGGAATGAAACACTAAAACACAGTGTAGTACTTACCGGTTTTTTTT